TTCGCCTCTGTCCTCCTTGATGAGGACGCTACTAACCGCTGCGCTAGAGACGGCGATGTAGAGTGAGAGAACGTCTCCTTCGTCTGGCTTTGCGAGGACTGGAGGGGTGGTGAGGTACTTTTTGAGCTGGGAGAAGGCTTCCTCGCACTTGAATGCATTTTAGGAGGACCCCGCATGCGTTGTATCTGGAAAGTTCGTCACCCATGACGGCATAATGCGCGCTGCGCCGTTTTAGTCGTCTAGCCTCCCACTTCTCGGTTGGCAGTGTGCCGTGCGAGAGGTAGTTGATAAACTCCAAACGCCAGTCGACGGTCTGCTGATCGATCTCAGTCATCGCTGTGTCGTTGATGGGGACAACGAGGGTAGCCGTCTCATTGGAAACGTTGATGCTCGGTTCGTCGATGCGATGTATCGGGATGGTTCGCTCGATTTGGTCGCGTAATTTTCTTCCGAGGGCGGCGAGTGCATCTGCACAAGCGTTTTCACCGCGGGGTACCTTGGTGAGCTCGAAAAATTCGAACTCCTTTGCTAACTCTTGAACGATACGGAGGTAGGCATCCATTCGATCGTTGTGGGTGTCATAATCTCCATTGTACTGACCGGCGACGAGCTGAGAGTCACAATACGCACTTACTCGCTTTGCTTTGACTGCCTTGGCTAAACGTAGGCCGGCTATCAATGACTCGTACTCGGCTTCGTTGTTTGACGCTGGGAAGTCAAAGCTAAACGATTGTCGTATCAGTTCGCCAGTTAGGGATTGGAGTTGAACACCCGCGCCTGAACCTTTGTTCGTCGAGGAACCGTCCACATTTAGTATCCAATTCTGACTCGGGAGCTGGATGTCCTGTTCTAGTTCGGGTGCTAACTCGACAATGAAGTCAGCCAAGACCTGAGCTTTGAGGGCTGTGCGATTTTTATACGTTATGTCGAGCTCCCCGAGTTCTACGGCCCACTTGGTCAGTCGACCGGCGCGATTCGTAGTCTACAGGACAGTTCAGAGGGGCTGATCAGTCAGCACCTCAACCGAGTGTGATTGAAAGTAGGGTCGAAGCTTCCTGGCTGCTTCTACCACAGCGAGAGCCATATTCTCGAGAGCTAGATACCGAGTTTCCGGACCAGTCATGCGCCTGCTTATGTAGAAGATTGGCTTTTGTTCGTCTCTGTCCTCCTTGATGAGGACGCTACTAACCGCTGCGCTAGAGACGGCGATGTAGAGTGAGAGAATGTCTCCTTCGTCTGGCTTTGCGAGGACTGGACGGTGGTTTCAAGAACACTTTGTGAGCTCTCGAGATCTCGTGAAGCCACGCTGGTTTCTTAAGAAAGAATGAAGCTTTCGATGTCTTCATAGAAGAGGAGTTACAACAAAGCCGTTGACTTCACCTTCGTTGCTTTCTCAGATCCGTCGACTCCCACTACATCGTGACAACAATCTGAGTAATTTGGTCTCAAATCGCCGAGTTCGTGAAGCTCAGGGCTTTGTTTTGCCGGTTTGCAAGAAGCTACAAGTTCAACCAACTAATTTGAGAGGCTTTCCGGGAAAGTTTAGAGCTTTGGAGGATCTTTTGTAACATCAACAACAAGACTCTGCAGAAGAGACGAGTTGACTCAGTTGTGCTTGAAGCTGGAAAGTTACAGAAGCTGACGCGGTGGTTCTTACGATGCGACCGTGGTCTGGTGAAGTGTACTTATGTGGAACGTCATCACATCTTCATCACGAGAGGCTAAGTTTATGGCTTTGGTCTCGGCAAAGCTCAAGACTTGCTCTCATTAAGCTCGTGACAAGAGCAAGACGTTATCTTCTTCTCTATCTCAAGTAACTCCACCAGTTCGCTGGTTCAAGCTTCTCATCAAGCATAAAAATCTGAGATAAGGCTTTATCTGCTGAATCATGGTTTAACCATTCAAGTTGTTGTGAGTGGGATGGTGCTGTTTGTGATGTTCCTGTTTTAGATGTGACTATTATCAGTTCTGATTCCTCAGACGCAGCCCTTGTTGAAAGTTTCAGCTCATGAGCATCTATCACAAAGGCTCCTCTTCGTCTCGTCGTATTGATCTCGGCGTCATAAGGAACTGGCGTCATGCCTTTATCAGGCTCCTAGTTCGCAATCTTGTCATCTCATGAACGTTACAAGAGCTCATCAAAGAGCTCTGAGGCATTGTGCAAGCTTAAGCTCATTGGCTTCCTCTAGAGCAGCTCAGTGTCTGCAAACATCTCCTCGAGTAACATCACTTTCTGGTCAAGGGAACCCACGAAACGGAGAAGGAGAATATTGGTGCTGTTATACTTCGGAGGGAGCTCTGTCTCTTTTGGAACAAGACATGATGAAGAAGCAGCGCATGAGACATAACCTTATCTTCAGACCATTTCTCCAAGAAGCCACAACTTGTTGCTTCCTGCAACTGGGCAATGGTCTCAGAGTTTGATCTCTTTGTCGAGATCTGTCTCTTCTTTACAGAACCGTAACAAGATTGGAGTGAAACATCATTCTTATTGGATCCTGATAAATTGCAGAGGCCGCTTAAGCTGAGATATATCAGATTTTCTTCCTCAAAGACAAGTTTGTTCAGGGCTAGCAACTCGTCATAGCCGCTTCTCTCACAGCCTCAATGTTATCACGTCTTCGTCACAAGAAGCTGAGTTTACACATTATTGCAAAGAGGCTTGGAGTTCTTCTCGGTCAAAGCTCAAGACTTGAACTCAGCGACCAAGGCTTTCTCATCAACCACTTGCTCGAGCTGGACATCTCATATACAGCTCTGATCTCGCCTTGGAAGCATGAGACATAGCCTCATCTCCAGATCATCTCTCCAAGAAAGCCACCACGCGTTACTTCCAGCAACTCGGCAATCACTACAACAAGAGTTTGATCTTGGCAAAAGCTCAAGACTTGATTTCAGCAACGAAACCACCTCGTCAGAAGCTCATATAAGACAAGTTGCTTCTCTCAGCCTTGTTAAAATTTTGAGCTCATGAGTATGCAAGAATTAGAAAGGCTCCCCTTCATCTTGTCGCATTTTTCTCAGTGTAGTCTTTCCGCTAGCAGTTTCAGAATCAATGACAGGAACGTCATTGCATCTTCGTCACAAGAAGACAAGAAGCTGAGTTTACTGGAACGGTTCTCGGCAAAACTAAACACTTGACGTGACAGAAGGCTCAGCCACTTGCTCGGCATCTCATTTGAGGCTTGGAGTTGTTCTCGACTATAAGCCTGAGAAGTTTTTTTCTTGTGTTTATCAGCGTTGGCTTGCCTCCTAGCTGCTGGTTCACCTGACTTCTTGGTCTGCCTCTGTTTCTTACGACGAGAAAGAAATGATAAAACGCTCTCATCAAGTCAGTCTTTACTGAAAATGAGTTATTATGATGAGCACGAAGTCATGAAATGATGACCACAACAACTTCTTCACCCCAAGATACGAAAGTTCGGCAACCTTGGAGGCTTGTTTCTTCTTCACAAAGATAAGCTCTCTTACTTAATAACCACATGCTTTAATTATTTTTATATTACATATGTAACCACGGTTGACATTATAGCTTTGGTTCAAAAGCTATTAAACAATTTTAAATTGTCCATTTATCTCATGTTACTGCTTTGCCGATTGTTAACCTTATGATATTAATAAGTAGACATTTATTATATCATCATGTGCAACACATGAGCATTAAAAACATGTTTGATCATTTACTTATTAATTATTCATAATTTGATTATTTCTTTGGTTTATCTTTTTATCTGATTATACTCTTGCTTTATGTGAACCAGAGTTGATTAGATCGTTGAACCAAAGAGAATCAACGAATGGTTGCCACCATCACACTCTCATGTTTCGAAGGACAGCTCTTAGTCAGCTACGAGCTCATCGGAAGCGGTACAAGCGGCACAAACCAACGCTTTTTTCGATATCATCATAGCCTGACGAACATACAAACCAACAACTTGCTCGACATACAACGATCTCAACACGAGACTTCGGGTCAGCAATAGTTCGGTAAATTTGTATATTAGGCACGAGTTTAAATTGAACTTGCTTTTTATTGGGCACGAGTTTGCAATCAACTCGCTTATTGTTAGACACGAGTTTACAAAAACTCATTCTTGGCTAGGCACGAGTTTACATAATTTCTCCTTCTACCAGGCACGAGTTCAGTAAACTCTCCTTCGTCTCGGCATGAGTCTAGTAAATTTGTCTTTCATTAAGCACGAGTTCAAAGCAAACTCGTCTTTTACTAGGCACAAGTTCAAATTAAACTCGCCTAAACCGTCACAGGCATGAATGTGTCTAGTTCATTGTCTAATAAACCCTATTCGTAAAATTCACAGAGATCGATTTCGTCTCTCTCTACGAACTTGGGGGACTTACTGTTGGACATGGGTTTTATCCCTAACAAAGCCCATTAAGACAATGAATTAGCCCATCTCATTAGGAAATCCTAGTTCTCGCATTCCTATAAATAAGGAGCATAAATAAGGAGCTACCTCCTTATTAGAAAGAATTCTCTTCTCATTTTTATACTAAGAACACTTTTTAGAGATTTATAGATTCACTTTACATTATTATTCACTCATTGTAATGAATCTTCATATCAATAAATCTCTTTCATATTCTATTCTCATTCGATTTCTTTCTAGATTTCTCATAAGCCTCAAGGATTTAAGAATCTAATTCTTAAATCTTTTATTCTTATGATTCTACAAAAAACACCATTTTTGGATCAAACAATGTCGCAACACAAAACCGTTATGAACCTGTCACAAACTCGAGCTCGACTCTTCCACATCGTGACTCCAATGACCTCGCGAAGACTCTCCCAAGTGGCTCCTCGTCTTGCTGTCTCCGAATCAATCTATGTCCCGTCGTCTCTGTCGAGTTCTCTCCTCCGCCATGATCCGCAACTCGCGGATGTCTTCGCTTCAAGCTTCGTCGCCACGGGCTGGCTCCAAGCCATGGTTGTTCTCGTGCTCAGCGTCTTCTTCGTGTCTCAGAGATCCCCTCTTCATCGTTTCTTCAAGCCCCGCCGTCACGGAACCAAGAAGAGCTCCATCGAAGATCAGAAATGGTGGCTTTTACACTATTTTCACTTTAGGTCCTATATCTTCTGTACTTTCCCATTTCGGCCCCAAACGTTTATAATGTGGAAGAACCCTAACAAACCCAAATCTTTCTGATCTTACAATTTAGCCCCACTAAGCATTCCAAAATTGCAACATTAGTCCCTGAATTTTCGTCTTCTTTCTTTTCTACCTCCACAATCTTGAAATGTGCAGTTTGACTATTGATTTTCCCATAAACTTCCAATTCTGCAATTTGAACCCTGTTATTTGCAAATTAACACTCTAATGCAATTATACACCTAATATGTAATCTAAATGATCAAAATAAACTAAAACGAGATACTAAAAACCTATTAAAACATGAGATATAACTTTCAAAGCGCTGATTAAAATTAGTTAGCTATTTAAAAGGATAGAATATTAATTTGATGTGAAAAGTTGTATTAGAAACGTAGAATACTAGGATGACACTTATTGATACAAAAAAAAACAAAAAATCTAAAATGACAATTTTTATGAAGCAAATGGAGTTAGTTATTTTGTTACCAAATACTGAAGACGTGCTTTAGATAGGTAAACCTTATTTGTTACATGAAATTTATAGAACTCAAACACAATACCAAATTCACAACTTCGGAGATAGTTTAGTAATAAGAGATAAAGGATACGATGATGAAACTTGCAAGGTTCTGAACTCTATGAAGAAACCATTGGAGCGAAATAAACTCCGATAGCATCAAAAGAACCACCATCCCTTCCATGAAACCCGACAATGGCATTGCCTTGACTCTCCAACACGAATTTGGTACCAGTGACCAATCCAAATGTCTGAGAGGTTCTTCCTTTTGATGTGTTGAAAATCAACGACGTAAGCACCAAATAGTTACCCTCATGTATATGGTTGTAGGTACCCTCTACAGATGTCATATATTCATTAGGAAAGTCCACCACAAACTGCAAAACATATAAATCATTTTGAAATTACTGATAAAACAAATATATACCGAACCTTATACTGCCAATTCATTTTTTAAAAAGATAATTATATACAATATTCATAATACCCTCGTACCAGAAGCAATAAAAAAATTTGAATAACATTTAGAGTTGTGGAAATTTAGTACCCCTTGTGTTTCTCCATTCTTCATCCCGTGATAACAAAGTGCCACTTGACCGTCTTGGTCGTAGTCGATGTCCATACTCCTTATATGAGTTTCAGTAAAAGTAACATGCACTGCTCTTACGCCATCGTAATTAGGACCATCATCCCAATATACGCCTCCTGTTACGCCTCCTTGGAGTTCCGATTTGGTAGGAAGAGTCTTTAAATATTCTCCAAGAGACCGGAGGTTATGCCCAGCAGATCCATGGAAGCCAATAATGATTTTTCCACTGACTCCAAGTAAAAATTTAGTACCTTTTTGATATCCAATAAATTCTGAAGTCTTGAGGTTGGTTTTAAATTGGAGTGCCTGCATCACACCTGTCTTTTCTTCATAGTAACCTTCAACAGATACAATTTGTTCGTAGTTGAGATGGTCAAGCTCTAACTGCAAACAAAACAATGGCTAGTAATAAGTTTATTGTACTGTTCCTAATTTATATTGTAAAATAACATGCAAGTATTTTGTTTGTTACATTTGATGGTTTGTTCCATAGCAATATTTGTGATCGTATGTTTTTCTTAAAATGAAATATTATGCTTTCCAAAACTATACCGTTTGTGTAAAACCATCGGCCAAACCACCATGAATCGTTCCATTTATGGATTTTCCAGCCTTGACATAGTCAAATTTGATGTAGTGAATGCCTTCATGACCACCTCGTATATAAACCTTTGCTACATTGTCATGGTCGGCTCCATCATCCCAAATCTTACCGCCTTTCCCACCAATTGCTTCCAACTTTTGGGCCATTGTGAACCCATTTGAATCTTAACAAAGAAATAAATTAAGGTATGTGTGTTTATCATATCATAGTCATTACTTTATGCTGGGACGTTGACTATTTGAAAGAAACGCTTAATACCATTTTTTTCAAGCTAATCACTAATTCTTATCAAAATGAAAGGAAGAAAGTTTATATATATATATATATATATATATATATATATATATATATATATATCTTAACATCTAACCAAAAAACGAAAGGAAGAAAGCATCTATATTAAACGTACATTTTATGTTGCATGAAAAAAGAATTTGTATTTATATTTATATATGCAAAAAATTATTTGATGATAAAAAAGGAAGCTGGGCTGAACTCTGTCATTTACAAAAATTAATTAACGGTGTCGTAAACCTGCATATGGAATGAGTATGAGTAAGAGGTGACACATAGATAGCTTAATTACCTAAAGAGGCAAATGAGAGAACTAGAAGAATAAGATAGAAGATCAACATGATCGATAGGTATGTTACGGTGATTTGTGAGTGAATAAGTTGGGGATAAAGATGCTATTTATAAGCCACAGTTTTGGCTCTTTAAGAGATGCATTTTTCTTTTCGTTAAAGGGTTTTCAAGAGACGCACACTGACATTATTAATATTGCATATAAATCAGGCTAGTGGCTCATGAAGGATGTTAAATTAATGTTTCTAATTTTTTATCTTATATAGGTATATACATATCCCTTATATATGAATCTTGGAGCATACAATATACAGTATAACATCTTTAAATCAATATTCTATAAATTAATATACACTAAAAATCTCAATAAAATAATATAATTTTATAGTCCCAAATTGAATTTTTGGTTTAATTAATATATTGATAAATTAATAATTTCTATATATTAATAAAAATATATAGTTTTGGTGTAGTCCCAACATTATTAATTTATAGAGATTTCACTGTATTTTGGTAGCCACATGTCATTACTATGTTGATTCTTAGAATCCTTAGAAAAATAAGTTAGTTCATCTCAATATATAGTATAATTTTTATTAAACTAATTATGCAATTAATTGGTAGTATATAAAAGAATATTCACCATTATTTCATTAAATAAAAGCTACGGAATTGCCTAATATGGTTGAAAAATATATGACAATTAATGATTTTGAATAATAAAGATTTGATAACGAGTTTCTATCTTCCATCACTTTTTAAAAATTTTATATTCTTAAAATAAATTAAAAAATCATACTAATAATATAATAAAAATTTTAGATTTTTCTTATATGGTATATTTTTAAAATTTTAACGATTATAAATTACTAAAATTGTTAACATTGAAATATTTGTGATCAATGATTTAACTTTTTGTTATAACAAAATATAAATGATCATAAAATCATATAAATATGAAATATCTTTAATATATATATAAAATACATAAACATGCTAATTTCAAATTTTTCTTTGAGTAAGAATCATCGGTTAATAAATATTCACATAAATAAAATAATATTTGCTACAATAAGTATAAAAATGTTAGTTAAATCATATGAGTACGAAATTCAATTAATAAATATTGATACTAAGTATATTTTATAATTTTTTTAATATCATTTAAGTTTAACTATATACCATATGAAAAATATTGTAAATATAAAGAGGGATGGTTTTTTTTTATATGTTTACTCCAGTTTAACTATATACGTAATAGTTACTCGCTTCTCAATTATTCAATATACTTCTACTGCATAATACGTAAATGAATATAAAATAAATAATAATATGTATAAATGATTTGTATTCCACGCAAGCGCGGCTCTCAAAAGTTATTTATTATTTCAAAAATACAATTTTTCATATCAAAGTGAGATGGTGAATTTTAACCTCCGGCTGATATTAGTGAAGCCCAATGTAAATAGATTTAAAAAAAATCAATAAATATTACCCTACTCATCAACAATTTATTGACGGTCAAATTTATGACATGATGGTTGAATGATCAAAATTAGTATTCAATGATTATCAATATATAAATTTCACCCGCACATATGTGCGGGTTATTACCTACTCTATCTTATTAAAACAGAGACATTAGATTGGATCTAACATTTATTTTGTAAGTTTTTAAATTAAATACATCTTTCTTATTTATTGTCAAACTTACATTATTTAAATCACTAATATTCTGTTTTTTTTTTTTTACTAATATCCATGTTTCTAAACAATATATTTATTTTCTATACTACTATTCATGTTTTCAAACAATATACTCATTTCTTTATACTACTATCCATGTTAACAAACAACACTATAATTAATCTTATGTTTAAATAATATACTCATTTTTATACTACTATCCATGTTTCTAAACAACACTATATCCATGTTTCTAAACAACATTATGATTAATTATATGCCCAAATGATATACTCATTTCTTTATACTACTATACATGTTTCCAAACAATACTATAATTAATATTATGGTCAAAGAGTACAAAATATTAGATCTCATACTTTTTAATAATTTCTCACATTTTTCTTTCAAATTATTTAGATAAATTAAAAAAAATCAAATAATATATAAAAAAACGAAAAAGAAAATTATTTTTACAGGTTTAAATGTTACATATCATTTATCCATCGGTTCAATCGGTTAGTCTTGGGTTCTAGTGATTTTTAAATATAGATATTATTTAAAATCAAAATTGAATTATCGAATCACCAGTTTAATTATGGTTCAGGTTGAATTTAAAAATACTGATTTAAATGAAAAAATATTTTAAATACATAAATTATTTCAAATTACTTAAGTATTTGTTAAAATTATTTATGAAAATTTTCATCATAAACTATTCCAAACTTGCAAAATTAAGATCAAGGTTAAGTTTTTTTAATTATTATTATTTTTTTTAAAGGTGAAGTTAATTTGACCTAACCTATAAAATAAAGGTTAGGGCCAAATTTTTTAGAAATTTGTGTACTATTTCAAAAAGTTTGAATAATTATTAACACCAGAAGTAACTAAAGTCTCAACTTATTTTTTTATGCAAACAGTTAAGTTTGAATTTGATTTTGCACTTCAAACAAACGTACAAAACTAGTATTTTGACTACAAGGTTACATCTACATAATACATTGTTTGACGCTATTAATACAAAAGATAGTTTTGATATTGTTGTTTAAACATAAAATGGAATTGGACAACCTCGAAACTATATAAAACTAAATTATATAGAACACATCCAAAAAATAAAACTCGCACGGGTGCGCGGATCATGATACACACAGACAAACACACACACACATATATATATATATATATATATATATATATAACATAATCCACTTAAAACTATATTCAGCTAAAAATTATTTAACTAACAAAAGTTAATTTTTTGTCAAATCAAAAACTGCGTTAACGTGAAAACTCTGAATTTTTGTATGGATTTATTTCACTGATTATTAATATTACCATTATGATTAAAAAATATCATGTGACTATGAAACATAGTTTGATTTACTTTGAAGCTTGTCATTAACAAGTCAATTAGAAAACAACTAGTATAATTTAAACGGTCTATCGTGTATATATGAATGCTTCTCATGGTCGGCTGTTTTTAATTTTCCATATTCCGTAAGAGTTGAGTAAGTTCGTAACATGCATATTTTGTTTTTGAAAATGTTGACTTCTATACTTTAAGATCTAAAATTATGTATTTAATTAGTGTTGATTTGTATTTTATTAATAAGTTGTGCTTTATACAACGACTTTGATTATATATGGTTGCTTTGTTAAATGTAAAGGTACATAATTAATGTTTATTCATTTTTTTTGAATAAGAATTAATTTTTATTCATACAGGCATTCATTATGTATATTTTAACATCCTTGTATATTTATATCTTTTTGAACACTTTTTTTTTGTAAAATTGTTAATGTGTTATTTTCGGTGACAGAGAAAATACTACAACATTTATCTTTGTAAACATATATATAAGATATATCATATATATAAAAATGATTTATACAATTGTTTGAGAATTGTTTTTAATATCGTACAATAGTTATTTGAGTGTGCGGATAGCCGCTGCCAAACAAGAGTATTGATTGATGAATTTCTAGGTTGTGCATTTAGAAATATGATGATATGATAATGTTGATGCTTGTGAAAGATGGTAGGTTATATTGTTCGGGCATCGGCTCGGGAGACGTTCGAACCGAGTTCGGTTTAATTTTAGTTAGTGAGTGACTGGACTCGTCTATGGGTATTTTCAAAGGCGTTTTACTATTTATGAGTGGAAGAGTAAGTTTATTGATGAGAGAGTTTGTGTACAAATGAGGAAACTAGCGACGCAAGACGGCGTTGCTCGGAGAGCTCTGCCGTGAACGCACAGGTCAGAAAGATACAAAATGGTGAAAGCCCTAATTCTAGCCGCCTTGCCAGTGAGTGCTCGATTTCGGATCCCCTACTCGTTGTCGGCTCCTATCCTTTTATAGCATGCTCTGCTCTTCCAATAACCTAGGTCGGTATCCCGTAAAGGGCTTCTCGTTAATGGGCCTCCGGGTCGGCCCATAAAGGCGTGTATCACTTGGCTTCTCCTTGTCGTTTAGTCGCGGGCGCGATGGAGTCGGGTCGAGTCAAGGCACAGCTAGTTGTTGGGCCGACCTGGGTCGTCCCTAAATGGGCTGTCCTTGTTATTCGATGGGCCTTGAAGGATGGGGCGATCCAAATCCTACAGTAAGTCCCCATGTCTATGTTCGAGTTGCTCGGCAAGTCGGGGATAGATTTTAGCAGTTAGGGTCCATCGAGTAACAGGGTCAGGGCACGGAGATTGCTTTAGGCATGGCTCGATGAGACGCCCGTTCGCGACTCGGCAGAGTCATTGATGCTTTTGCTCTTTTAGGTTTTCAATTGGATTGTTTACTCGTCTCAATGTTGTTGCCGAGGCGAGCACTCGACGAATCGATAGGATCGTTCGCTTGTTAACTTACTTCCGAGTGATCTGTTCGTCGTCTTGCCTTTCCCCGGGTTGTTTACTCTTCTCGATGTTGTTGCCGAGGCGAGCACTCGACGAATCGATAGGATCGTTCGCTTGTTAATTTACTTCCGAGTGATCTGTTCGTCGTCTTGCTTTGCCTCGGGTTGTTTACTCGTCTTTTGGGTGGAGTAAACTGAAGCCGCGAGAATATGAACAGTCTCATTTTAAATGGGTATTTTTGGCAGATCTCGGCCCATTAGAATACGAGGAGACGCGAGCAATTGAGGCCTAATTAGGTTTTAATAGACCTAATGATGACTCTGGGAATCACACCCCTTTCCTTCTATATATATCTTTCCTCATTTCGTCTCTTTTACTTTCTTTGCCGCTGCAGGTATTCTTCTCTCACCCTTCTCTCTACTTTCTCTCTCTAGATTGTTGTATGATATATACGTATACTCTTACCGGTAAAGATGTGCCAGCAGAGAAGACTTACACGAGAAGAAAAGGGGAAAGACATTATGACTGCGTCGAGT